CGAAGGTGGATGCATTTTGTTTCTTGAACTGTTTTTCTTTGCATAAAAATAACTCAAGGGTTCAGCTAAAGAACAGTAAAGATGAATACACGCCATGATTCAACAACATTAGGTTTATCGGACTCTAACATTGTTGTGAAGGAATTTTTAATCATTCTTCTTTTAGTTCATTGAGGTTTTGGGGGCTTTCTTTTATGCACAGCTCCCATCGCAGCACCTTCAGTCTTTTCTTTTTCAGCCAGAATGTTGTAGATCTTTGTTCTGTTGCATGAACCAATGTCAGCCAAACTTTGGACTCTGATGGACAGATGGCCTTACATGTGACTCTAGAAGACTGTAGTATACAGAGGGATTTATAATCCACTCAATGACTCTAAGGTTGCCAGGTCCTTTGGCTCCTAAACAATTCCAAACCATCACCCCTCCACCACTGTGCTTGACAGTTGGCATGAGTTGTTTGAGCTGATATGCCGTATCTAGTATTTACAAAACATGGCGCTGTGCATCATGATCAAACTTTGGCCTTGTGTGTCCAAACGGCATTGTTCCAGAAGTCTTGTGGTTTGTTCAGATGCAACTTTTCAGCCATCCTGCCATCTTCTTATTAGAGAGAAGAGACTGTCTTCTAGCAACTTTTCCAAACAAGCCATACTTGTTCAGCCTTTTTCTAACTGTACTCTCATGTACATGTAATGTCTTACTATAAAATTCCCCTGTGCATTAATACTCTGAAAACTAATATTCATTTTAAAGTTACTGTTTGCATGATTTCTTTTTCAGGATCTAGATTGTTTTTCACTCTTGCTAACAGCCATAAGTTCAGCAGGATATATTTTGTTTAATGTTGTTTGATATTGCACTCTCACCGCCCATATCAAGCACCAGCAGTGCATGGCTCCTTTGCTCTGGGGTGTCCTGATAAGTCTGTTGCATAGGAACAGTGCAGCTCAACACTCGAAATAAGACAGCATGTGCTTATGACAAACTTTCTCCAGGCAACAACCCTGACTTTAGGCCATAGTGATTGTTCCATCAGTTGTAATATGTATGCCAAAATAAATTTCAAGATTATATGCGACACTGGTGTGCTTGAAATTATTGGGAGTGTTATATATTGCCAATATAGTATGTCAGAACTAAATTACTGTAAATTACTAATAATGGCTGAGGAAATTCAGACATTAAACACGAGTCATTCAATGCTCAGTGGGAGCAAGGAACAGAAAACTATCCAGGTCCTCCGAACTGCACCATATGTCACAATACAATGCCTGTCCCTCTGCACAAACTGGCCATATGCACATAAATGAAGCAATCACGGTCCTCGCAGAGAAGGCTGAATTTACAGACTTCCATTTCCAATGTGCTCCACTCTGCTGATGCTCTGCCAGATTACTGGGCCTCAATTTTCTATGCTGCGGTCAAGTCACAACAAGGGCGTTTATTGTACATGACCAGCTCTCTTCTACTGAAGAGCAGAAGTTGTTTTGAGCGCATGAAACTGAGGCACAGCATCTCAGCTGCAGCAGAAAAGGATGACCTTTAAATGAGAGAGGTCTTCCTGCTGCATGAACTGGCTTGATTAGGTGATGTCACAGGAAACGAACTCTCTCCTTATCAAGAGTCAAAGATAAAATCCAGCAACAACTGCAACTTTTCTCTGATGTCCTTGGATGGAGTTTTAGGACAGGCACTCATTCATCTCCATAAGCACATTCATTCAAACAAGGCATTACTGTGTACTCAGCAACTCAAATGCACAAGATTATAACCTCTAAAGTAGGTCCTCTATGATTCAAGTTTAGTTTAGACTTCTTTGTTGAATCTGTGTAGACTATTTAAATCTGTTGCCAGAACTGATAACTTCACACAACATTTCAAAGTCGGTGCAAAGCAAGCTATGGCATAGATTTCAGAGCGTTTCCAGTTACTTCAAAAAGGTGTAGATTTAACACTGAAACACAGATCGACTCTCACGGCTGCGTCCACGTGTATTTTTTAAAACGTGGATTTTCCACTTTCTTTCTTTAAAAAAATAAATCAATAAAAAAATCTCTGTTTTGAAAAAGATCCACATGAAAAAGTGATATCAAGCTTGATTAAGAGCATGTTAGTGCAACCGGTGGCAATATAACCCTAATCATTCAAAAATGTCAGCCAATCAGAACCCTAGAAATATCACAGTCTGACATTAAAAAAAAAAGATAAAGGCGCACATCGTTTAAGTTGCAAGATCATGTCTTTGCTCTCCTCGTCCACATGCAGAAACTGAGTTTCTGAAAATCTTTACCCTGGAAGGAGTTTTTTCAAAAGCTCAGTTTTCAGTTCCCTGAAATGCAATTTACACCTGCACAGTTTTTAAAATATTTACACTTAATATTTCATCACTGTTCAACAGAAAATATGAATATGAGAATAACTTAATTAGAAAATTGTTTACATATTGTAGCGATATTTGTACCTATAGAGGCTAAAAGACAAGCAGATAAACAGAAGATAAAACAGAAAACAAAACTCACAGCTAGTTCTTGTTTACTGCTTTCAAATCTGTCTTCAAAGCTTCCACAGTTTCTGAATATTCCTCAGTTTCAAAATTCTGAAGCAGCTCCAGCGTGTGCGCAAGCAGTTGACTAGCGATTAGCCACATTAGCTGTGCAACATGCTAAAGTAAGCTATTTCATGTTGTTATTGTGACATTACCATAAAAAAGTCTTTATTTCCTAGGCTACTGGTAGTGTTAATTCTTATTTTTTGAAAGCTAGATTTACAACATTTCTACAGTATCTTCTTACGGTGAATCAGCTCTTTCTGACTTCAAATGATCCAGTTCTTTACCATTATTTCAGTCAGTTAGCTAGTCAGTATTATGTGTGTGTCAGTGTTAAGTAACCAATTTGATCATATTATACACTATATGAACAAAAGTACTGGGTGACCTACACATTACACCTGCAGGAGCTGCTCGATGCCATGAAGCTCCCTGCACACACTTTTTTGCTGATGTTATGCTAGCATTCACAACTCTTACACACGAGTCGCCCCAACATTCAGCGACCCTGCTTTGTAACTTTCCATAGTCTGCCACGTCATGGCTGAGTTGCTGTTGTTCCTAAACATTTCCACTTTGCATTAATATCACTTACAGTTGATTGTGGATTATCTAGAAGGGAAAGAATTTCACAAATGGACTTGACGGTGGCATCCTATTACAGCACAACAGTTGAATTCAGTGAGCTCCTCAGAACGACCCATTCTTGCAGAAACATTTGTAACAGCAGACTGCATGGTTAGGCTCTTGATTTTATAGACCTGTGATAATGGGAAAACACCTGAAATCAAAGATTAAGAGGTATGGCCAAAAGCATATTGTGCATCTCTCGTGCAGTACGTAAATAAGTAAATAAAATATGGCCTACACGGTTAGTTTATTAATGCTTGGGCAAAAAGATATCTATGATCTGCTTTTTTTTTCAATATTTTACGGTATTGTATAAAATAAATCCATGATTGTGATTAATAGTTAGGAATCAACAGTTATTTTTCACCATCCATGTTACTGTCAACAGATATCAGCACAATTTAATTGCATTGGAGCTGCCAGCACAGGCATGGCTCCTGGAGGTTTGTAAAGTCAGAGAGGTGCAAGTCCAGGAAACAGACTTTATAAGAGCAGAGAGCTTGAAGCAATCACAAACAATGGGTGTGGAGTCAAACAGGAGGTCAGCACAATACAATGATGAGGTACAGAAAGGTCATTAGGTAAACAGCGTTCAAGGAAAGGTGAAAAGGGGTAGACGAGAGAGCAACACATTCCTAAAGGAGGGGAGTGAGAGGCTTGCAGAGAGGAAGGGTTCAGGGAAAAGCACACTTAGAGCTTTCTTGTACAAACAAACAAGTAAAAAACAAAGGAATATCAGAAAGGTCTCTAAAACCTAAACCGTACTGTGGAAAGCCCAGATAGCTGCCCTTTCTCACTTCCAGAGACACCACATACAAATGTACACTCTCATGCCCTCTAAAAATAGCATTCATCAGCACCTCCCTGTGGGTCTCACAACTTTTTACAGTTCTCTCACACAACTGATCCAAAATAAATCCGATTGACCATAAGTACACTATCCCTTTGACATGCAAATGTCAAATATTAAACCAGTGTGGTGAGAGCTGTATCTCATGCTAGGGACATGTTTGACTCCTTGTTTCTGTGTGAGAAACAGCCAAGCCATTCACCGCTGCCAGGGAGGCACTGGGCCACTCGATCACTGCCGGGAACAGACAAGAGCTGACAGAAAGCAGACAGAGAGCCACCTCACTGCAACTGCACCTCTAAAAATACATGAAGCAAACAGCAAGACATACTAACCACAGCTTCATACATGATATAAATCATGATCTCTCATTATAAGAATAGATTTTTATTCACTGTATAGGTGTGACAAGAGTGTCATGTTCATTCGCAGCAAGAGCACAAAGTCAGTGTTTGTGCTCACCATTCACCCACATACATACATGTATACGCATGAATTTAAACATATATTAACAGGAAAATCAGTCCACCTACATATTGCACCATTATAGCCGTGCAGCTGTGCTAAAATGCACTTTCTGTATGGACTTTCAAAAGATGAGGGATGTGAAACTTTGCAACCAGGTTACAAAAACTCAAGTGTGTGAAGGACTTGTTACTTTTAGCCAAATGTAATGTAAGCAAAAAGAAGGAGGCTGTGCAGCGTCACATCTCTGCAGCTGGAAGAAAATTCGATATGAGGAGCCCTGCAAGAAAGTAAAGTTTCTGCGCTGCAACTTTTTCAGCTTCCTGAAATCTCTTTGGAAGGTTTCTCTGATGGATTTCCACAGAACACAAACTGCAGTTTAACAGCTGGTGCTTTACTGACAAACATCTTAGTTGATTTCCTTTCTGTCTTACATGAAAAAAACACACATTTGCATGTACGACAAATATCCCATACAGCTGTGATAACTATGCCTTGGTTCCTCACCTCCAAAAGCATGAAAGAGGAGCAGTAGTCCCGCGAGCAGAGGGGCAGTGTCCGGTAAAGCCATGACTATGGGTCGGTGCTGCAGATGTCCGCGCTGAGGTGTGTGTGCGTGTGTGTGAAAGGAGTCTGACAGGAACTGGTCCTCCTGGAAAACTGTACAGAGTGAAAGAGAGGAGTGGCGGCGCAGCGTGGAGAGGCAAATGATGCAGAAAGGGGCAGAGACACGCTGTAAAGAAAGTCCTTCCGCACAAGTCATCCGAGAGCTGCTCTGAAAGGCATCACGTTTTATTATTTATTGTTTCATTTTCTTTAAATCACTCTGTCCCGGTCATTTCTTTACTCATTTAGTTTGATAAATACACTGGAGATCCGAGCTCCAGCTCCAGTGAGCTGTTGGTTATTTTTTGCAGCGGGCAAATAGAAGGGAGGACCTTCAGAGAGTGGAGCAGCAGGCGGAGGAGGAGGGCGGAGGTCTGGAATTAAATACAGTGTGAAGTTATAATTTACAACTATTTGGTCGTTGCCAAGACTCAAAATTGATACATTTCCTCACCAAGCGTGTCATAACTTATGTTTTCTCAATAGGGGACCGTGACTGGTGGAGGATAATTTAGCGTGGAAATTGATGTGAGAAGGTGTGGCAGTTGTCCCACCGTTTGAATTCAGGTCATGTGGTGCGATTTTGGCTTGGTGATCATTTCAGATTGACATCAAGGCTGTTTGCAGTGTTGTGCTGAGGTAATAAAGGAGATACTGGTGGAGCTGAGTGTGGAGGCAGGAGCAGAGAGAAGGATGAGGATTTATCTCCATCTTATCTGCAAGTGGAGAAGCCGAAACTCTTAACACTTTATAAACACTGACGATAAAGACCGAACTTCTGTGTGCCAGTGCCACACAAGCCCAGCAGTTCTCAGTGTTTAATTCAGAGTCTGAATAATACCGGAGGTGCCAGCACTATCAGCACACATACAGTATTCACCAGGTGCTTTGGTGAATTGTTCACAAATCCTTTCTCTGTTTTCCAGAAACATTTTCCAAATGAAAATGCCCCCCTTGGAATGAATATCTCCATTTTTAACCTGTTTAGTTATTATAAA